TGAATGGACAGTTTTACGAAGAGGAAATACAAAAAGTTACATTACCCGACAATCACTTGTTTAAGATTGATAAAATAATAGAGACTAAAGGTCGAGGACACAGTAAGCGATACCTAGTGAAGTGGGAAGGTTACGGAGACGAGTTTAACTCTTGGGTAGCTGCGCACGATATACAGCATGTCTAGTAGTATCAGTCAATTTTTTATGACATTGCCCAGCAATAGTTCTATGAAATATTTCCCACAAAATACAGTGACCAGTTATACCACACACTTGTCCAAACACATCCAATTAGACGGCAAGTGGGAGTTGGCTTTGGTGGACATTCACTATCCTTGTTCATTTGTGGTGAATGAAAACAATGTTGATGACGAAACAATACGATTTCAGTATGATAGTTTACTAGCGAGATCGACGATCCGTGATACAGAACAGTTCGCTGTTAAAATTACAGGCGGATACTATAGGAATCTTGATGATCTATTGAATACAATAAACAAACATGAAGACATCCACGATTATATGGAATTTTCATACGACACGAGAATCAACAGAGTTAAAACTCAGGATCATGAACGAAAACGTATCGAATGTGAGTCTGAGTGAGAAACTATCACAGCAGTTGGGTTTCGATTATGACGAGAAAAATATATTAAAACCCAATATTACCGAATTGATTGGTTCTAAAGCACCAAACCTCGCATTGGGTATTCCAGCGCACATTTATGTGTATTGCGACTTGATAGAGCCACAATTTATCGGCGACACTACAGCGCCATTATTGAATATAGTCAACATCAATATAGATACGTACAAGTACGGTTCGTACAATTCAGTGTCATTCACAAGTCCGCACTATGTACCCGTTATGAAATCCACATTTGAAACAGTGGAAATCGACTTGAGGATCACACAGGGAAAAAACTGCCATTCATGTTTTGGAACGTCGTACGTGAAACTTCATTTTAGGAGAGTGCAGCAGCAACAGCAGCAATAATGATAATCAATCTGAATGATCCCTATTTGGCATACTACCGACGGCAACAATTACAACAGACTGGCGGTGCTATCGATCGAGTATTTCACGGTGCACCATATCAGCGAGGACATGGAATCGGTAGTTTTCTGGGCGGTATGATTCGCACTATCGCGCCACTGATCAAGTCCGGAGCAAAATCGGTGGGACAAGAAGCGTTAAGATCCAGTGTTGGATTCCTAACCGATCTGGCAGGTGGTAAAATTACAGATCCAAAATCAGCCGCCAACTTACGACTTTAGAGAGTTTACTGGATCGTTGAAACGTAAAGCTGACGAACAGATAGAACGTATTATGCTTAATGGCGGCGGAGGCGGCGACATTGGCGCGAGGAAACGACGCGTAACGCGTAAGAATAACGCGAAACGCGCAATGCGTGGCCGTGGCAGAAAGCCTGTTACACCACAGTCGTTGGCTAAACTTCTTAGGGTGCGGACGTCTACATCAAGAAGAAGAAGAAGAGTTGGAGGAGTGAAACACAAGAGACTAGTAGGGAGGATACGACGACGAGGAGGAGTAGAGCCAAGGAAGAAGGTGACTTTGCCGAAGAAACGTACTCGTCGCAGTAAAAATTCGAAGTCTATTGATATTTTTAGTTAGTTAAAGAAGGAGGAGAAAAAAAATGTCGTTCCTACATCAAAAATCATGTGAGTGTGTCAAAACCGAGCTGGATTTATTCTCCTTACCACCTACGCAGACGAGTATTGAAAGTGGCAAATGGGTCCAGTACAAACCAATATCCACATTGACCGATGATGCGCCAATAGAGTTTGTAGTTCCGGGTAATGGTGATGAATACACTGACCTTTCACAAACAATGATACAATTGACCGCGTCTATTGTTAAATCTAACGGAACTGCGGTCACTACTGACGAAGAGGCGAAAACAGTTGGGCCGGTCAATAACTGGTTACACTCACTATTCAGTCAAGTTGATATGTTTATGAATCAAAAACTTGTTACTCCCCAAAACAACACATACGCATATCGAGCGTATGTTGAAACGTTAATGAACTATGGATACGATGCTAGAAAATCACATCTAACATGCAGTCTTTGGTACACTGACGATGGAATTGACATGAACGATTGTGCGGAAGAAAATGAAGGACTCAAAGCGAGACGGGAACTAACTAATAAAAGCCGTGAGATTGATATGCTCGGACATTTGCATGTGGATATTTGCAATCAGAATAAGTTCATGCTAAATGGCGTAGAGTTGAGATTTAAATTTATTCGATCAAAAGATGCTTTCTCCATTATGGCCAGTGCTGGTGAATTCAAGGTACATATTGTCGATATTAGTCTCTGGATTCGAAGATGCAAAATAAGTCCCACCGCACTGTTGGCGCACAGTAAAACACTCCAGACTGGTACGGCAAAATATCCAATCACACGAGTGGAGCTGAAAACATTCACACTACCCTCTGGAATACGTAACAAGACTTTGGACAATATGTTTCTCGGCAAGTGCCGAAACGCGTCATAGTGGGAATGGTTACGAACGCCGCATACAATGGAGATTTTAAAAAAGAATCCCTACAACTTCGAACATTTTAAAACAAACTTCTTTTGTCTATATGTTGACGGAGAACAAGTTCCATCAAAACCGTTACAGCCCCACTTTGAAAAATCAAAGGATAAATATGTTATGGCATATCATTCGATGTTCTCCGGTTCTGGTGTACATTTTAGCGATGCCGGCACTGTTATCAGTAGGGAAGATTTTGGTCAAGGATACTGCCTGATGGCATTCGACCTAACACCAGATTTATCTGCAAGTGACACTACACATTGGAATCTGGTGCGTAACGGTAGTGTTCGAATGGAACTCGGATTCGACGACGCGCTTACCGAAACTGTCAACTGTTTGGTTTATGCCGAGTTTGACAATGTTATCGAGATTGATCGACAGCGCAATGTAATTGTGGACTTTGGCGGTTAATCGATCAGTCTTCAATAAACATTCGTTTGAGATGGACCGTTTACGCAGAGCATTCAAGAAATTGAATATATCATCACCCATCATTGTGGACATTCAATGTTTCAAGGACAATCAAAATGAATATACACTGAAGGAAGTTTGCGTCTTGGAAGCCGACACGGCGTACTACTTATGCATCATATTGCTAAACCACCTTACGATCGAGTCAGAGTTATCAGATGAAAAACTGAGGGAAAGCTACTGGCTCACAAAACACTGCCACGGACTACGATGGGAGTTCGGTGATATTGCGTACTACGAACTTTTTAACAAATTGACTGATTGTATATCAAAAAAGACCGACGGTTTATGTCAAGGGATTGGAAAAGAAAGAATATTTAAAGCGTCATCATGTGATGGACTTTGTTACTACCAATGTAATCGATATCGGTGCAATTGGTTGCGAATCAAATCACTTTCAATCAATAATTTAATGTCAACAAACGTTTTACGATGTCGAAATCACAAGTCTACAAACAGTCGATGTGCGCTCACCAACTGTGTCGCAATACGTGGTTGGTTGCATTTGACAACAAATTTGGACGAATGTCTGGATACCAGCGGAGATGCGAGATCCTACTACTGTTCTTGTTTTAGCACCTCTACCAGTACAACAAAAACAGCATCTACTGCTACTATTGGTTATGATACTGTAGAATGAACACGCTACAGATTGAAAAATATCTAGCCACACTTCCTGTGCGCAATGTTGGAGTCTACGCTGCTGACAGAATCCCACGACGCATCTCACCACACACTGCAATAATTGTAAACACTGATCCACACAATGAAGGTGGGACTCACTGGGTGGCTTTCTATTTGAATCGAGAGGGGATGCTTGAATATTTTGATAGTTACGGCCAACCGCCATACTTACCACTATATCAAACATTCCTGCGACACAACGCTCATCATTACCTGTACAATCCATACCGACTTCAAGGTGATACGTCTTCAGTCTGCGCCCACTACTGTTTGGTTTTCCTGTATTGCAGCACACACTTCAGTATGAAGATGATGGATTTTGTTCAACTCTTTGATGAACACACTACTGATCGTAATGATAGAATCGTCAAAAGACTCTTTACTCAAATGTATCACAAGACAAACTAATCACTGTACTGTTGTAAATTATATATATTTTTAAATATATATATTTTTTTATTACCAATAAACTTTTTCCTTTTGTCAAACAATATTTTCAGTTGTTATACTTTATTACCTGTGTTCATCATCATTATTATCATATTTTTAGTTTAAAGCGCATAGACTCTGATTATTTAAATGTGAAAACAAAATGATTTTTTCCCCTTTATTATTAAAATATTTCTGTTCAGAGTCTATGAATGCTGTTCAAAGTCTAATATTATACTATGAATGATAGGAAAATAATTACAATCAGAATTTGTGAAATAAATATATCTGTTTATTAACTAAAATACTATTTACAAATATATGCATACTTTTGAGGAGTCAGTGACTAGAAATATTTACACGTGACTTTGAAGTGGAAAAAATTAAAGAATTTATTTATCAAAACATCTTTGAATTGTATTCAAAATCTAATACTAATGAAGACTGTTCAATAAATAACTCTACCTAATATCACACTCATGCGGACCTTGGTCTACTAATCAATAATAATATATCAGTTATGATGGGGACAGAGGTTGTGGCGCAATTGGAGAGTATCGTATCCACTAAAGGGTCAGTGGCAGTAGTTAAGGTCCTCAAGTATCTGTGGTACCCTTAATGGTGGTATTGCATAGTGTCCCCAAGGTAGCGTGTTGATACCATCTTCTGGCATTACGTATCGTTTGTCGTCAAACGGTGCCAGTGAGCGCTTCTTCACCACAACAGTGTATAAAATGTGGTGACGGCTTTGAAAACGTTGATTGTCTGTACTTTTAGTAGTTTTATTGTACAGACAATTCAAATAATCTTCTATGGTGAGATCACGCTTCACTACTGCTCTATTTACCCCTTTTGCTCTCTTCACAGGCGGCGGTATACAGTTGGCACCATCTCCGTTTGTCTCCTTCAGGCGCACACGTTAAGATGCTATACGTGAAACAATACAGCTTCGACATCAGACCAATGAACATTTTAATGGCCACACCGGCAGCTTCGTCCTTAAACTTCCCCAGAACTCTAGCGTTTCCTCCGTCGTAACAAATGTGGTTCCGGGGATAGTTACTGGTGTCAAAGTCGTCCAAATGTTCTAACATGTCGCGGTATACGTTCTTAGTACGTATTGAATAATGGCAGCCATCGGTGTCCATGTAAATCATCGATATTCTATCGATTCCATACCTATCTACCATGTCATAATGGAAACCATACATCCACCTCTTACTGTGGTCCAGAATGCACATCCCTGCGTAGACGGGTTTGCTCAGTACTACCCGCACTTTTGACATATTCAGTATGGCAAGATTCTCATTTAACCAAATACGATCATTGAAATTAGCTTTTGCTACATACTTTGTATATGTTTTGCGGGATGATGCAATCTTTAAATCTTGATGTTTGCGCACATTCTGAAGACTCATACCGTAGACAGCGTTTACCATAAGTTTAAACATTTCTACCTCAAATTTATTTACAGCACGCTGTCTAAGTTCGGTATTCATAGTCACGTACGGTTTCAACCATGCCGACTGTTTAAAACGAATCACTCTGTGGATTCGAGTTACACGTAATCCATTCTCTATAGCTTGTTGTAGGTAGCGATAGTGAATTACATATTCCCTCTTATCCATCAGTGTGGCCATTAGTTTCTTCGATTTTCCTGCTCCACTATTGATAATTTCCTCCAACGAGTATGGGAGTTGGTTAATCGGCGCTTTGCATATCTCGGGACAGAATGGTAAATCCCTGTGTCGATCGTGCAGTGCTGGATCTCTGGGGTATTCTAGATCTACTTCCAGCACATATCCATATTCACCATCTGTTGGAATTCTTCCAATGTCCAAGTCGTCACATTCCTGACGTGATAACCACTCAAACTCGGAATGAGGGAGCAGTTCCGACATTGCCCACCCATAAAGGTTGTTTGCGTCATAATACATTATAAATGTATCGTCATCTCTTTCATCGCAATATTCACTTGATGCTGCTGCGTTCTGACCGTCTCGGTCATTGCCAATTGTTTCCATTCTGGTAAACTTATTGTTGGCAACAACGTGTCTAGTAACGCATTGGGTCAGTCCACCTCGAATACCCTTCTCAAAAAACAGATACATATCAATATCTTGTAGGGTATCAAGGATAACATCTGTCTTGAACATCATTACGTCCCAAGCATATGATGGTAGTGTCAAATAACGCGCTGGGTCCAATCCGTAATGTGTTAGACACATCTCTCGGAATCCCTCGAACACATCTGCTAATAGCAATACGTCAGTCGCCAAATAGATATCAGCATACTGTCCGAGGGTCGTACAGTCAAATTTCTCCCATACTCGCTGCGCATGCTCGTAATCCGCATCACTCACTCCTTCTCCAAATACACACTTTGGTGGAAGGACATCTTCTTCGAGCACCTCCATCGATGAAATGTACTCATACGGAAATACCCCTTTCCTCCTAAGCAGATCAAACTGTTCTTGATTGGGGTAGCGTGACTTTGTAATTTTTAATTTATCGGCCGGCAGGATTGATGCTAATGTCCCTAATGGCTTTTGACATTAACCTATAGGAATCAACAAATTGTAGTTTGAGACCACCTTGCCGACCTGCTCCCGGATATTTAAATCGTTTGGAGAATGTGATATACTTTTCCTCCGTATTTGCGAGTACATTTATATTTCCTTTATCAACGGATAGCTCTCTGATGATAAAGTGAGCATCGTAATTGGATAAATTGTGGAGATAAATGTTGATAGTGTCCTGTTCCTTGTGGCGGATATTACAGGAACGGTGTGATGCTCCTCTGTAAGTATAGGGAGGAGAGTGTTCGTGATCTCTAACACGGGGGTCGAGTATTGTGAATTCTCGCTTGCATATGTAGCATACTGTTTGCTCGCGGAAAGAATCCTCTTCCACCTGTGTTAACCGTGGAGGGTCATTCGGCAGACGTTGCCCATACACTATATCACCAATCTTCTGTACGTCATCCCGTATCGATTTGATAAAGTGTTGGGCGGCATCTTCACCTCTGTACAAACGCAATTTGGAGAACGTCAAAGCTGTGTGATCATTGTCATCAGTATCACCATCACTTACATTTCTATTATCATCTCGAATGTAATAGGCGTATGCATATGGTACATGGACATTTCTGGCATTGTGCATTTCACCAGGTCGGTCTCGACGTGCTCCTCTTGCTAATGCGGGATCCCATACTGGCGGTGGAACAGTTGGCGGAGGATCGATTGTTTGTTCAGGCTCAAGAGGTACGAGTGCGCATTCAAAGTCAGCGTATATGGTGAATCGACTTCGTTGAGTGCGTTCGAAATTTTTAAAATGTATTGTTTTGTCTTCCGCAAGATCAGTTCTTAACGGAGCATTGTTAAAACAATATCGCTGATGCTCCAAAAGACGTTCCTCTCCTCTAAGACCTAACTTCGTTGGCCGATTATCGAAGTGTGCAAAACAGCGCTTACATATGTAAAGGCGATGTTCTCCTAGAGTCAGCTGGGATGAAACCAATCTCGTAAAGCTCTTGATCCAAACGTAGTGGGTAGTGACGTCGTTTGTTATAAGGAGTAGGTCAAAGTGATTGGCCAACTCACGATCTGCGACACGAAGAGGGTAGACAATGTGTTTGTCCGGGTCCATGAAATGATTCTTTTTCTTCTTATCCAGACCATACACATTAACACTAACACCTGGATTATTGCGCTCAAACGTGCGGATTTGGTTAAGACTTACAGGGAATATTAAGTCATTAAAGTTTAAATTTGCCCTTTCTCTAATTTCTGCTGTGAACATGTTAGGTGTTAGTTGACATTGACGATTATCAAAATATTTGGAAAGTATTGAATATTCAAAACAACGTTCATCCGCATCGTTTAGCACATTAACCGTTGCTTTTTTAATGGCGATATCATGCGGCAGTTGAATGAAAGAACTGCCTTTGAGCGGGCTATAGACATTTACACGGATTTGCATGTCCAAAACCCTTATAAAGCTCCAGCCAGATCCTTTCATTTCACATGTTTCCTTTTCTAATAATACATTTTGAATAAACTCTTGCACTAATTCGTCAATGTGAGACGATTGAAAAAAAGGCACATTTTTAGTTTGAAAGATCGCCTGCATGTATCACCATGAACATTTACAAATTCACATTCTACAAATATATTACACTTAATAGCATGAGTGTGATTTAAAATAGTCCGCATGAGTGTGATTACCTTATCTCGAATGTCATTGAGGAACTCCAGCAGTGAGACGGTGTTTTCGGCAGGCTCGGATAAACAATAGGTTTTAAGTCGACCTTTGAACGCCGTCTCAATCTCCTCGAACCCTTGTGGAGCCAAATTGTCAGGAATTTCGTTCTGGTCATTAACATCATCCTCGTCACTAGTCGACTGAGGTGATGACAGACTGATGGATGGTGGGGCGGGTGAGGGCTCTACGATGTTGCTGGGCTCTGGCTGATTGATTAGTATCTCAAATCCGTTACCCCTGCAGCTGAAGCGAGTGTGTCTCCGTAATTTATCCTTCCTGGAGAATGTTCTCCCGCAACCGTCACATGTGTAGTCTGTATAAAAAGAAAATATATATATATTAATCCTAAAAATTCGGTGTGAGTAGTACTTAAACTTAAGCAAGATCCTTAAAGTTTATCTCAATTTATTAAATTACAGAGTTGTTGTTATTTCAGCGATTGAATTTTTATTGTTTTTAATAAAAATAAGTTTCGTAAACTATAAAATATTTGTTTTGATATTGTTTTTACGTTTAAACCTAATTAACAACAACCGAGCATAGCCAGGGGTATAACCAACCCCACTGTACTTTCTAGTAAACAGAAAATAATAGTATACTAACACTTAATGAAAAAAATATTTTTACTTTAAACAAAAGAGTGTAATAATAAGGAATATACTATATACTATATTGTTTTGTTATTGTACAAGGAAAGTGACAAAAGATAAATATATTTTTCATATTTTGACTGTGAAATAGTAAAACGTATTGGTTTTGAAATAAAATGAAATATGATATATTGTTTTGTTATAGTACAAGGAAAGTGACAAAAAGATAAATATATATTTCATATTTTTACTGTGAAATAGTTGGTATTGAAATAAAATTAATGAATAAAGTATGTAATTACTACTAGTATTTTAACAATAGAGTTCAAAGATAATTCAATACTCTATTGCTATCATACTAAAGGTTATGTATCGAATTATATTGAATTAAAACGATTGTACAGTTTATTGGTGATTTTATTATTTAAAACGTACCTATAAGGTGTGGTACAGTGGGTTGGGTTATCATCGGACAGTCTGGGGCAGTCGATGGTCCTGGTCTTGGAATGTAGTCGGGGGCAGTCGATGGTCCTGGTCTTGGAATGTAGTCGGGGGCAGTCGATGGTCCTGGTCTTGGAATGTAGTCGGGGGCAGTCGATGGTCCTGGTCTTGGATTGAAGTCGGGGGCGCTGGATGGTACAAGCTGATTAGTTGTGACGGTAGTAGTAGTAACCATGTTCTGTCTAAACGCAGGATTCTCCGGTTGTGGTGGTTGTTGGCGATGTACGCTCAGCATATGACGTTTCAAATCGTCACTTCGTCCAAACGATGACCCGCAGACAGAACAGGCTACAGTTGTGCCGTGATGTACGACTCTAGTATGACGCATCAAATTGTCCTTCCGCGTAAATACCTTGTCGCAGAGTGCACAAGTGAGACTACGACGCACGGTGTTAATATTCATCATCATCTGAAACCCAAAACAAATAATTTTAAACTACATACTAAAAACCTTTGATGCAATATTTTAATGTTTTTTTTTTTCAAGCGAGAGAAATATTTTTAATGTCATACACTTGAGGTAATGAATCTAATTAGTTTTTTTTTTTATGTCAATCAATTCATATCAATTCACTACGATCAGAGCACTTCTGTTTAGTCAATTTCTTTTTGTAATATTGTTAATTTATTGGTTTTGAAATAAAATGAAATATGATATATTGTTTTGTTATAGTACAAGGAAAGTGACAAAAAGATAAATATATATTTCATATTTTTACTGTGAAATAGTTGGTATTGAAATAAAATTAATGAATAAAGTATGTAATTACTACTAGTATTTTAACAATAGAGTTCAAAGATAATTCAATACTCTATTGCTATCATACTAAAGGATAAATATATTGAAAGATAAAAATAAGTTTCGTAAACTATAAAATATTTGTTGTATTATGTACAACTATTAAAATTAATAAAATCTAAACTTTTTAATCCAAGTGCGATATTAAGTTATATATTTATCTCTTCTTCTTCCTAGTAAATTTAATTACCTGGAGTAATTCTAGTCACTTCTTTTTTACATTTGTTTAAATATGAAATACATAACAATAAATATAGATATAGTATACATAATGATATGTACTTACATTTTATGATTGAGAGTTTAAACCAAAATCTCGATACTGCTATGCACCTATCGACTGTAGAAGTGGGTTGGTGATTAGTCCGTCCGCACTACACGACTAATGGAAGCAGAATGATGTTTTAATGTAGGGCTGGGATTTGTTATTTGGAAGGAAGGGGATGAGAGGGGGATGATGGGGATGAGGGGGAGGGGATGAGAGCGGAGATCTCTCATCTTGGCGTCATTTCTCGTCCTACACTCCAGCAAACATCACGATGTCCTTTGGAAGTGATATTAATGACGAGCAGTTAATCGAGGCTTCTATCTCGGCGGAGGCTGAAGACAATGTCATCAAAGATATTGGTGAGATGACTCTAATCGAAGCCTGCATCGAGATTGAAGTACGATGGGAACAGTCGCTAATGAAGACAATGAGTATGTCGCAGTTGATGTCTGCAATGACTGATGTGGCCTTTGAATGGGAATTACGGACATATTGCGACACTCACACACAGGACACAGTACGGATGGCGTTGCAGCGATATGTAAACCTGGACGCAGAAATAAGAAGCCGAGGACTCCAATAGATTTAGTATTAGTAGAATTAAGTTAAATATAATATATTAAATGCTTGACTTCCTGGTTCCTCAATAATGTAAATTAATAAAAAAAAAAGAAAAAAAACAAAAAAAAAAAAAACAAACAAACAAACTAATAATTAGAACTATTCCATACTGTCTCAGCTTAGCTAAGACAGTGATGTAATAGTGTCTGCGATGAACCCTCTCTGTTGAGTCCAACGCACCCGCGTGTCTAGACGTCATAAATTATGTTGAAACATGTGGTGAGGGTGACGAAGGGAGAGCTTGTGGAGGTTCCCTTTCAATCTTTGTGAGAAGATCACAACGCTGGAGGGGAGGAGTATCCCCCGCCTGGGATTAGTGTGTGGGAAGCAACATCACGATGATTTCTCAAGATGTAAAGAATAATTACACTTAAA